GATCAACTGGAAAGTATTGATGAACAACTGGAAAGTATTGATGAACAACTGGAAAGTATTGATGAACAACTGGAAAGTATTGATGAACAACTGGAAAGTATTGATGAACAACTGGAAAGTATTGTCTACTTTTCATAACTAGGAAACAATTTTTTAAAAAGTATCCACGCATGAGGAGGGGGGAAGAGAGAATATATTATGCACATATGGGGGGGGGGGATCAATATGATTATATGACACGCTTAAAAATGGGGGGGGTTGCAAGAGAAATTCATTTAGCACCCCCCCAAATGGAGAAGAAATATGAACACAAAGACAAGGATTAAAAAAAAAAAAAAAAAATATCAATATGATTATATGACACGCTTAAAAATGTGTGTAGTTCCAACAGAAATTCATTTAGCACTCCCCTAAATGGAGAAGAAATATGAACACAAAGACAATGATTAAAAAAAAAAAAAAAGAATTACACAGTTCATAAACTGTTTAAGAAGAGCATTAAACTAAACACAATTGGGAATACAAGGGTTAAACATTTTAAAAATGTGGCCAAACACCATAACGAAAACACCGTTTATGAGATGAAATACATTGAGGTGGGAACAGGGGGGTTGTGGGGGGGGGGGAGTTAGTGGTGAATGATGGTTACGCTACTATTCATTTTCATAACATTATCACCGTAAAAGAGAGCATTTAAAATTAAAATAAGGAAACTAAATTAAATATTTTTTAAAGCTGCAAGTGCAAGGGTTAATCATCAATGGAATAGCCACAACCCAATCCAAAAAAATTGGACTGACGAACATCTGGAAAGGGCTGTCGCCTTTGCACAACTATAAAGCAAAAAGTATCCACACAAGGAGAAGGGGGAGATCATCAGCATACAGAGGAGAGCAATGGGATTATATGACATGCTTAAAATAATATGATGTGTGCGTCGGAAAAAAATACAATCAAAAAAATAATCTCAGTGGAGGAGAGATATAAACCAACGCAAAAGAAAGGAGAAAAAAACAAAACCAACAAACTACACACTTCGTAAAAGGTTTAAGACGAGCATTAAACTAAACATGGTTGGGGGAGTACACGGGTTAAAATAGAAAAATAATGTGTCCAAACACCAAAACCCAAACAGCGTTTATAACATGAAGGACATGGAGGAGGGGGGTCGGGGGTGGGGGCGCAAGAGTTGAGCGTGGTCGCGCTGATATTCATTTTAAAAAACAACTCATCATCATGACAAAGGAATATGAGGAGCAAGGTATTCGCAAACTTGAAATATAAAGACAGCAAAATGAGAGGAGAACGTCTCGGCTGAGCGTCTTCTACAACAGACTGGACAAAGGAAGAAACAACAAGAAATAGAAAGTGAATCAAAGACTATTGTGTTGTTGTTGTTTTGTTTTTGTCACTTTTCCTTGCATTTGTTTTCAAATTTAATATATTTTAAAAGTTTCCAAAATATTTTGAACCGTTAAAATCTTCTTTTTAAAAAAAAAAAAAAAAAAAATTTTTTTTTTTTTTCATTTTCCTTTAATTTTTTTTTAAATTTAATATATTTTAAAAGTTTCAAAAATATTTTGAACCGTTAAAATCTTCTTTTTAAAAAAAAAAAAAAAAAAAAAGTGATTAACACATTCTTTTACTTCCTGTAATCTTGGTTTTTTGAAAGCCAGCCCAATGCTTGTCCCTATAAATAGAAACTGCCGGCAATCACATTCATCCAAACACTGATGTTCTTTTTTCAACAACTTTCTATTTCTTCTTCTTCGTTTCCATTGACACGTCTTTATATTTCAAGCTGCCACACACCTTGTTCCGCTATTTCATTCATAGAGCTTGACGGCAGTCCTTCATTTATCATCCAAAATCACAAGAAATGACTTGTGATTGTTTGTTAGTAATTTCTGTTGTTTTTCTTTCTTTTGTATTATTTTCATTATTTGTTATGACTTTATAAATGTCTATTTCTACTTAAGAACGGACACGTTTACTTTCAATAATGAGGCCGCTGATACTTTTATGTGCATGCTAACATGTGCATCAGCCGAGAAGAAACAATTGTGTTACCGGTAGTTGGTACGCGAAGTTAATTATTATATAGGACACTGTTCTGTAAAACCTGATTTGATTCGTCATTCTTCAACCAAATTTCTCCAAGTGGTCCAGGTTTTGTTGTCTCCAAGCGGCCGGGTAAAGAGATGATCAAGCGCTTGTTGTGGAAGCTTCAAAATAATCCAATTGTGTATATTGAATACAAAACAAAAGATGATGTTCGATTGCCTTCATTTTTTTGTGTGTTAAAATAATATTTCCCTAGAGTAAAGATTGACCACAGACAAGTGACAAATATAATTGCAAAATCTAAATCAGAATGACCTTTTTTTTAAACAAACAAAATATTGGAAAGCTCTCTTCAAAAGTACACAGTGTGACAATGACATTACAAGAGGTGAGGGTATTGCCTCAAAATAGTTCCCACACTCTGTTTTACACCAGTGACATTACATTTAAAAATTTGTCGAGAACTTCATAACTTGTCCAGCTTGAAGACAAGGTCTGTAGATCTCCGTCAAGTGTTTCCGTAAGTTCCACCAGAGAGGTCGCTCCAGCTATCGTTTTCAGTCGTTTTCAACGAGAAAACAATTGAAAGAGTGTTAACATTAAAAAATAAGATGCAAAACATCAGTTATTCAAATCATACCATTTTCCGTTTCAAGTTGTCTAACTTAAATAGCGTGAAGAGGCTCTCAAGTTAACTTGCAGTGCCCTGTTGACCTCCTGGTCGTAAACGCTATTGACTAGACATCCTCCTTTCTCTAACGCGAAAATTAAAGGTCAACAGAAATCACGTGCAAAAGGGAGTATTATTAGTTCTTTTCGCCATAAACCTAAGCTACAAAAATATCTACATGTTATCTATATATTGTGTGCCCTAGCTTTACGAAAAATATATACAGACACCTCACATAGTGTTGTATAATATTCAGTATATTCAGAATTATTTATAAGAAAAACAATTCTATAAATGTTCTATACTTTATATTTGTCAAAATAACTTTGTTCTTGTGAGTCTCGATTGCTAAAATGGTAACTAGAATTTCAACCTTATTATAAATATATCCAGGTAAATGTGTGTTTCTTTCCTGACTAACGAAGTTGTAATTCAGTTCATTTAATTACCGACAGCTAAACTACAATGTCGTATATTCAATGGCTGTTAGGCTTCGCTAGAAAATAGTATCAATCTTACTAGCTATTTTGTGTATGAATTATAACACCAGGATGTAACTAGTAATTCAATAACGAGTTCGAAGTAAAAAAAATAATAATCTGATAGCTAAAACATTCCCCCACATCTATAGTATGATTCCCTACAACCCACAAAATCACCATAACCATCTCGCTGCATCTCAGTTTCAATTTTTTTTCTTCAAAATTTCGTAGTCCGTTAGTTGCACATACAAGACAAATTTAATACTGAAATCACAAGACCTTAGTGCTAAAAGTACTTAAGTCACAAAATGCTCATTTTGAGATAATCACGTTCAAATATTCTTTTCCTCGATAAAATTTGATCATTTTTATTTTTTGTTTTGTTTATTTTAAGGACTTTTACAGTGTTCAAGTTTCTGCAGTGAACTTGGCTGTACTTGATAAGAAAAGGTCACAGTTCAGATTGATTTTTACAAAGATGTGACTTAAGTACTTTTAGCACTAGGTCTTCGTCATTTAAACACAAAGTTTTCAACACAAATGAAACTTAATTTGTATGCGTTTTTCAGGTGAAATTTGCCAGGACGATGCCATCGTATGTGCATTGTCGTTCCATTCTTTATCTCACGACCGTAGCATGTATATGTTATGGTGAAATTTTTCAGATAATTTATTCTCTGTATATTGTATGTATCCGGCGTCTTTATTTGTACCCTTTCTAAACTGTTATCACGCAGGCTTATCATTACTTACATGCACCGTAAAATGTATGGCCCCTTGCCTTAAGCCTGATCGACCCATTTTTCATTCATCTGATTACATATTTCAAACGGAGCGGAGGCCAAAGCTTTCATTACCCAATGAACACGCTGGCTAAGCCATCCCAGAAGAAATAAGTAGCAAGTATAATACACGCTGGCTAAGCCATCCCAGAAGAAATAAGCAGCAAGTATAATAAACGCTGGCTAAGCCATCCCAGAAGAAATAAGTAGCAAGTATAATACACGCTGGCTAAGCCATCCCAGAAGAAATAAGTAGCAAGTATAATACATGCTGGCTAGGCCATCCCAGAAGAAATAAGCAGCAAGCCTAATACGTATCATGACTTTGTTAACCAAAATAAATATTTATTTTCAAACCTATCCAAATCATTTATTTCTACAGAAATTATAATTTTTTTTGTAATTTATCTTTTCAAATTTTATGGAAATGGCCATGTATCTTTATATTATTCATGTCTTTTGACCAATCGGTACTTAATCAAATTTGTTACAAGTAATCAAAAGAACACATTTCAAAGTCCATTTGGTCAATTGATGAATAGACTCAACAAACTTAGATTATATTGTGTAAGACCAATATTCTTTTATTATAGTCATTATGTTTTTTTTTCTTTTTGTGGTAATATTAAGTTCTTGTCTCTTAATTACACCGATTTCGCAACTTTATCTAATTTTTTTTCAGATGTTAAAGAGCGCAAATACTAGTACATTTTTCTTTGTCTTCATTAATGATCTGCATCTCGAAGAAACCTCATTCCTTTGTCTATTTCACTGCACCCTGTAGGCGGAAATTTATGTGAGGACCTGAAAAGTTAAAAAAAAATTCGGTGTTTGTTTTGTAAGCTTATGAGGAGAAAAATATAACAATTTTTAAGAAAAATGAACGCAACGGATGTCCCAGCTGTCCCATTTGTTGACTTTACCACAGAGGAAATGCGTTCGCAAGCCAACTTTGTCTTGAGCATACTCCTACCACCGATATTATCACTCGGTGTGATCGCCAATGTAATCAACATCTTCGTCTATGTGAAAATTGGACTGAAAGACTGCATCAGCATCTGCTTCTTCGTCCTCTCGTTCACCGACTTGGCGAGTGTGTTGATGTTGATACTGAATAATGTTAGTTACACGTTCACGGACGCTTTTCAAGCACTGTGGCACACAAATGGACAACATCTTACTTTTCTGGTAACTTTTTATTACGGTGCGCTTTACGACATTTCGCAAGGAATAACGACATTTATCGCAGTCCAAAAATGCTGGTGTGTTGCGCTGCCGTTTCGCTTCAAAAACACGTTCACTCCGACCAGAACCGCTGTTATCTTATCTGGAATTTCTATAACGATCTTATCTATTCATTTGCCAATCTTAACATCGCAAGGTCTGCGGGAGACTATAGTACCGGGCACCAATAGAACTCTGCTTTCATTATGGACAGCTGAAATCAGACAACAGATATTCCCCGTAAGAGCGGTCATGAGTGTAATATTTACCACCACTTGTCAGTTCACTGTCATTTTCTGCTTGATCGTTTTAGCTTCCAGTTTACGAGCATCATCAAAGTTCAGGAATTCTTCAACGAGTTCCAACATGCATCCACCAGCTGCTTATCTCAAAAGTGGCGGAACTAAACCCGGTGACAACAATTGGAAAAATTACAAGTTGAGCTCTAAGATAAGAACTGATAGCCATTGGCATGACACCGAGAATCATGTTGGCGAGATGAGTACATCTGGTGGTAAAGACGTTGAGCCCATGCCACTGCAAACTAAAATAACTTCAAGAAAAGAACTGCAGGCCATCAAGTCGACTACGATTGTGTCCATTCTGTTTGTTTCGTACAACACTTTCAAGTTGTTGAACGCCTACGTCGTTGTGTGCGTCCCAGAATACAATCTTAACGGTCGTTTGTCGACTACCTACCTGTTGACCAATTCAATCAGGCTCTTCTTCGAAGAACTGCACATCTCCTGCAACGTGTTCGTCTACTTGAAGTTCAACACACGGTTCAGAAAGACGTTGATGACCACTTGTGGGTGCGGCTGCCTACAACTTGCCGTCTTCGTTTGCCATTTTAAATTCAACTGACTTTTAGAAACATAAAAATACGTCATTCTGTGTTTGGAAAACATCACAAACGCTACCAGGTGGCACTGACTTCGCTAAAAAAATTCCGGATAATTTTGCAAAAAAGAATATCTTCAAAATAAAAATATGGCAAGTGCGTTTGGTTCGTAATATTTTCTTTTGTTTGACGGAAAAATTTGTGTGAAAAATACGTGTCTCAAAGGAGGATTCGAAAATTATATTAATAAAATTGTAATGGGTTGGTAGATTGATGAGGGGTCCCAGAAAACGCGTTATTTGAATGCAGCTACTTGATTAGATGGGAAGTTTTCGCATTGCTGCCACCATTGTTTGGTGGCTGATTGCTAGTGTGTTGAATGTTCAAACTGAACACATCGTAATAAGCTAGGTGATTTAAATTTGTTATGCACATATTATCCTTTATTGAAAATAAGTTCAACTGTAAATTACCAATTGTAAAATATACAGTATTTAATTATTCACTGGAAGTGGAGCTAAATATTTATATATATATATATATATCAGTGACTTCATGTATAAAGCGAAGTAAGCTCTGCAAAATAAATCCTTTATTTAATAACACGCATGCGGTCCGCTTCAACGTTCAATGGGACCGGCGAGACATTCTGGAAGCTAGATCACTGTTGTCGTTAAATGAACACATTGTGAAAAGATATCGACAAAAGAGTGCTTTGTAAAATCGTCCAACTGGAATTACATAAGGTTAGAACCTATCTCAGTTTACCGTCGAGGAAATCTCGTTGCCAAGTAGATTATCACGCAGCAAGCCCAAACATTTCTTTCCAGTCTACACTACAAAACGTTAATAATGTCAAACATGGATTTAATTTCATTCATGTGTTCTATATTAAGTATGTTGTGTACACTCGATGTTGTGTACACTCGATGTTGTGTACACTCGATGTTGTGTACACTCGATGTTGTGTACACTCGATGTTGTGTACACTCGATGTTGTGTACACTCGATGTTGTGTACACTCGATGTTGTGTACACTCGATGTTGTGTTTATCAGTTGTTTGTTTTTGTACATATGTACTTGAATTTTTTTTATCCTACCAAATAAAAAATTGTTTAAATAATTTTTTTTTTTTGAAAATCTTCAAGGTTAGAGCAACTTGCAAGAAAGAAATTCCGTTTACAACCAGATGGATATTTTATTTTTATTGACCTATGACGTTAGTCTGCTCCGCTTGAACATGTGTGTAGTTATTTATCGTCGCGATACGTTACAGTAGTGTTTAAAAATAAAATAAAATTGAAACTGAATATCTGGATTTTTTAAAAATTCATTTATAATATACGGCCAGTTTGATGGGTACGTTTCGGGCTTGAAGACTAAATAAATTTTATTTTAGTATGTAAAAAAAAAAAAAAAAAAAAACATTCAAACTTTAATACAGATTTCAAGTTTTTAAGATCATCACATCTGTTGCTGCCGGATGTCTGGAAACCGACAAAATTAATTTTGTCACATTCACGCCATGGTCAGTCAGTCAATGAGGAAGATTTTTATTACGAAAGTTGAACTTCGTTTATTTAAACATAGGTACATCTTCTCTCAACCGAACTTAAACAGACTAAAACAGATTTTTTTTGTCTGTCCAATTCTACCGAGGAGGCGTCGCTGGAGGGTACAGTACGGCGATCATTCCCGCAATGTGGTGATGCCTGCAGACGATTCATGTTTTGGACTTTTGAGGGTGTCCCCAACACACAGTCAACCCACTGCCGTGGTCCGTGGTCCGTGGTCCTCATTTGCCTCTTAAAAACCTACTATGTTACGCTTGCTATGCGGGCTGTTTGACCGCCATTCTGACCCAGCAATTTATTTGCTGTGGGGGCAATTTACTGATTGAAAAATTTGAGTCGCATACACTTAAGATTACGGAAACGTTATTATTTAGGTCATGCTTAACTCACAAAGACAGTGTAGGAGAAAAGTTTAAAAAAAAAAAAATCAACAACAACAAGACAACACTAACAATACCACAAAGGGAAAATTCAGTCTTTTTTAATTTAGATAACTATAGCAAAAACTTTGAACAAATCTTTTACTACGATAATCCACAAAACTCGGCACTAGAAGTTTTAAAAAATTGATATTGCAATTTGACCACGACATTTTAAAAAAAAATAATTTTGCGTTTTGTTCTTTTTGTTTTATTTTGCTTTATATGTACTTTAAAAAAAAAAAATCCAAGTAAATTATCTTTTGATATTTTATTCCGTTACTTCTTTCGAAATACATCTGCATTTTTTGTATCCTTCTACAATGATGCCATCCTCAAAACTAACCTAACACATTTAAGTTCATAAATGCTCCCTTTCCATTGAGGTCACGTTTTTGATCTAAAAGAGATCTGCTAAAAATAGCCATGTCTACAAATTAATAATTACTGTACACTTCTTAACGCAAACAAACATTTAAAATAAGCTTTAGATTTGCCTGAAAAATAAATGATTTTTACCGATTGCGAATGTGAAAATTTATCGCTCTAAAAAAAAAAAAAAAAAAATTAAAAAAAAAAAAAAAAAAAAAAAAATAAAAAAAAAACAAATTCACAAACAAAAAAAAAAAAAAAAAAAAAAANTGATGCCATCCTCAAAACTAACCTAACACATTTAAGTTCATAAATGCTCCCTTTCCATTGAGGTCACGTTTTTGATCTAAAAGAGATCTGCTAAAAATAGCCATGTCTACAAATTAATAATTACTGTACACTTCTTAACGCAAACAAACATTTAAAATAAGCTTTAGATTTGCCTGAAAAATAAATGATTTTTACCGATTGCGAATGTGAAAATTTATCGCTCTAAAAAAAAAAAAAAAAAATTCACAAAGTCACGCGTAACACGAATGTTAAAACTAAACACATTCACCAACCAACTAAAAAAAAAACTAGTGTAGTGGGTTGCTAATGACAGGAATGTACGTTTGCATGGGCTTGGAAAACTATTCAAGGTATAGGAAACCTGAAAAAAAAATGTAACCCAGTAAAAAACGAACGTGTCGGCAAAAAAAAAATTCCAACATCAGTAAACTGTAAGGAACCTTACTTACTCTCTGACAAACTTCATCTAGATCTGGTACTCAATAAGGAAACAACTCCGGTGATACATTTGATGATTAACCTCGTGTTCTTTATTTGGTCTGTCACTTGCTTACACTTTCACTCATCTCACAACTCTGACTTCTCCCTGCTATCTAGTTCTCAGTCCGGCCGCCTTCTCTTCTAACCATCCGGCCGCGCTCCCCCGTCCCGTCCAGAGGTCCCTATTTATAGGTCCCTGGGTCTGTACTTGCACCGCCCCTTTTCTCAATTGCCATGGTCTAGACGTCCCAGGTAAATGCCCTGGTCAGATGGATGGTCGTGTCTGGGTGTCAGACGGCCGTAAATGGTCAGGCGTTTGATCCTTCGGTCGTGTCGGCCGTAATCCCTGATGGCCGGTAACCCTGCTGAGAGATCTGTCCGGCGCCGGCGCTCGTGCGTGGTCCGACTCTCCACAAGCTTGATCCTTCGGTCGTGTCTGGGTGGTCAGACGGATTACGTCAGGCGCCGTCGTGGTCCGAACTCTCCACAAAACCAACAATAAGAAGAATATAACATTTTTAAAAAAAAACCAAATTCAATATATTTATAAATGGAAACACTTTTCATGTAGATTTAGAAGATGTGGTGCTAATAAATTAAAAACACGGTAAGCGATTATGACATTAAAAGGAGACGTTTTATTCAAGACTGAAAGAAGCAGCAATCAAGATTGAAATAATCTGCTTCAGTTTCAAAGTACGCACTCACCAGGACGTAACGTTCAGAAATGTAGAACTCGAGAAATAGTCTCATAGCTAGGGGCTAAACCTCAAGTGACGGAAAATACCTAGTTCAAACTAAGATAAGATGATATGTAGTTTAGACTAAGATAAAAATATCTAGTTTGAACTGAGATAGGAAAATATATAGTTCAAACAGAGATCAGAAAAATATCCAGTTTAACCTTAAATAGGAAAATATCTAGTTCAAGCTAAGATATGAAAATATCTAGTTCAATCTAAGATAGGAAAATGTCTAGTTCAAACTACGATATGAAAATACCAAGTTGACAATAATATAGTAAAATAAATAACTAATTCAAACTAAGATAGGAAGATTGCCTACAATATAATCCTTTTTTTTTTTTTGCTGTTGTTCAAGTACATATTTCCAATGG